TCCACTGGCTGGAACCACAAGCCTTTTTAGGGCAAGTGACGGTTCCCTTCTCCCCTGGGGAAGAAGGCTCTGCTACAGCTTATCTATCTGTCAAGGGAGGTTAGCAAGGGAATCTGGCATATGTTTAGGCTTTTCAGTGTGCAGCTCTGCTCTAAATCACATTTCCATGTGGTAGCACGATTGGGATGGCTCCAGCACCGCAGACGACAACCTGTTCATGCTGGCTGGTCAGGGTGATTTAGCCAATAACAAGTCAAAGTCGGCATCCCTTGGGTGTTTATGAGGGGGCTATGACCTCAGTTCTCACCTGCTCTGCCCCTTGAGCTGTCTTTTCCATTGGGGTAAAGTAGGAGTAAGATAATACACCTAGGATTTAGTAACTGTCTGTATCAGGGCCAGCTTTAGTCACAGAGGTTGCTTTCAGGCAGCAAATTGCTGAGGACAGCAAATCAGCCTGGCAGTAAGCATTCTGCAAACCTGTTGCCTCATCTCCTAGCTTCACCCTGTGCCTGCCTCATCTTCAGTGATGCAGCTGCTGCTGGGGCAGAAGGCAGATCACAGCAAGGGCCTGGGCTTCTTCCTCCCCAGCGCCAGGAGTATAAAGAAGTGACAGGGTGCAAGGGGAGTGTAACACCAAACAAGCTTTCAGACATGGGAAGTTATTTTTAACTCATTCATGAGCAGCAAATATCATGTGTGGCCAAGGAGCTTTTCTCAGCACACAAGAAAATATCATTGGGAAGTGAAGAACAGGCACAAAACCATGCCGGCTGCTGATGTTTCAAGGGCACGTTGTCGGCAGGCTGAGCTGAGGAGGCTGAAGAAGCCCTGGAGTATGATGGTCCGTTCGCCTCCCCCAGGCATGATGCCTCTGGGGTGCAAGATAATGTCAAGTGGGCAAGATAGAAAGTGGCGAACCAAGGTCCCTCCCTGCCCCATACTGAAACCAGTAGGTTTGTCCTCAACACAGTTTCTCATTTGCACAGAATTTCAGGGGATGATGCTAAAGAGGAGGCAGGGAGAGAGATATTCCTAATTCTCCCAAAAGGGCTTTTGACTCCATTTTGTTCTGGGGATACAGGTTTGCTTTTCAACCTGCAGGCCTGCCTGCTTTATGGTTGTAAGGGTAGTGCAGGGATGCTTGGGCAAGCTCCTACCTATAGCTCACCACAAGAAGAAGGGGCACTGTTTCCTCTGCCAGGGCACTAATTCACAATACCTGGCTGCAATACTAATGCACAAAACCCGTTGCTTCCCTCAAGAGACTCTGGGAGCTGAGCAGTTGGAGGTGTTGAGTCATTTACAGTGAAGTAGAGAAGGCATTCGTTGCCTGTTTTATGTTGCAGGCAGGTATCTGATTGCCTGTCCTGTGTGCTTTCAGTTCAAATTGGAAGTGAAATAGTAAAGCCTGCTGTGTTTGGGAACAATGACCCCATGAAGGTGTGGTCCTTGGAGCAAGAGGTGAAATGCTGGGGGAGAAAGAGAACAAGGTGGTGGAGGGGATGAACCAGGGAGCAAATCTTCCAATTTAACATTCAGGAACCTTGGTAGAAGGTGAGACTCTTGGGCTTTCATTTCTTCTGTCATGAATGTGTTTATATAATGATTCTGAAATGCAAAATGTAAAAACAGTCCTGGGAGTACGGGCATGGTGTCCTGGACTTCTCCTTTCTATATGAGTCCCAGATCATTTGATTATTACATAAAGGTGACCAACATCCACAGCAAAATATCTTCTAACATCAGCTCCTGTCTTGCTGTTAGGCCAATACTGAGAGAGGTATGAATTGGCTTTCATCGCAGAAATAAAGGTGTGGACCCTGAAACCTAATGATTACATATTTCTCTCAGAGTAACAACCAAAGTGTTTATCATAGGTAACTGGATGAAAGAAATCTCTTAAGATAAATGACAGCAGATAAATGAGAGACTGTTTTTTTTTTCTGTACAGTTGCCCAGGATCGTTTAGAAAGTATTCAGACACACCCAAAGAGTCTTAACAGTGTTAGCTTGGTCCAGGAATTAGAGTTTCTTTCCTAAAAATGATTCTGTGGAAAAATGCGAAGTGCAGCTGGGACCTTGAAGTCTTGTGGGATGGGAGGCTGAAAGTGTACTTGGCAAAAGTGATTTTTGTTTTATTTTTACTGCTGAATCTCAGTTTTTTGTTGGTTGCCATTGAAAATAAGTTGATAATGGAAATGTCCATTTGCCGATTTTTCTATGTCACTTTTCGTCCTGGGGGGAAAGAAAACAAAGATAAACTGTACTCCATCAGTAATCATGAGGCCTGAAATTAACCTTTTACTCACTTGCCTTATTCTGGCACACATTCAAAGTGTGGGAGTTCTGAATTAACCATCAAAACAGCACAAAACTGGGAGATGGGCTTGATTTTGGTAGGTAGGATTAGAAAGCAGAAAACCAAAGTGTTCATTGCTGCTTGAACTTCAGACAGAGCCTGCAGAATCTCTGAAGGTCCCAGCAGCAGCTGCAGATTGAGCTGGCCACAAAGCAGAGCCCTTAGCAGCTTGCCAAGGAGTACCTGGGGCCTTGTCTGTGTCATCCGTGCTTAATGAGCCTGGTCCTCTTGGCACCGAAGGGTAGTCTGTTCTGTCATTTATGCATGCTCATGTCAAGATGTTTTACCACTTCAGTATAAAACGGTCTTATGGAGCGCTTTCTGCCTGCCCTTAGCAGAGGAACGATGCAACAGCTGAACTCCACAATACACAGTGTTTGAGATTTAAACCAGGAACAGTGGAGCTCTGCATTATTCTCAGATCCCAAAGTGTGCACCAAGTCCCGCTGCTGCTCCAGCTGCATCTGAAGGTGACATGTGGGAACACTTCTACAGTTCTTTAGCAGGGGTTTGAAGCCAGAGCTGTTACTGTCAGCCCAGCCCTGCAGCCCTCTTCCCTGCACTGGCTTTGCCCAGTCCAGGAGTGAGCAGGCAGACAGAAGGGGTGTCAGAGAAGGTGAGAGCAAGTCATGTAGCCGCCTCACCTCTGGCCTTCTTCGCCTTCAGGAAACATTTTTTGCTCTGTGTATACTCCAAAGCTCGAAGCTGCCGCATGTTTCTTAGTGAGATGTTTCCCTAATGTAATTTCCCAAGCTGGTAGTGTAATGTTTTTCCTCACAGATAGATCATAACCTCAGGCAGAGTGAGACTTCAGACACGGGTACATCTATGAAAAAATTGGCACCCTCTTCTGTCAAGCAACAGTTAAAAGAAAATCTGCAAAGGGATTAGCTGCCATATACTCTGGGGCTTGCTGACAGATGTCCTGAAAATCTGGAAATGCATCGATCTATCTTTATACAGGGTTGTTTGGGGCTTTTTTTTGTTCTTCCTCACTCTCCCTCTCCTCATCCCTCTGCCCAGGGCAAACAAATGGGAATTCCTTCACAGAGCTGCCTGGGAACTGCCTTGGTGCCACGCATTAAACGGCATACTGGTCCTGGGGTGCAATCTAGGCTGAGCTGCACTCAAAACCTTAGTCTAGTTACAGATGCCAGCTTCCCTGCAATGGCAGCACTGCTGCTTTGTGCCAGAGCACTAAGGATTTCCTCTCTGTTCCAACTGCAACCTCTCAGCTCATTTTAAAGGAGCTTAAATGTTGGCCATTAAATATAAATATCTTCTTTTTCCTCTGGGTGAAACTGATGTTCAGAACTTCACAGTGTAAATAAGGTCTGCAGAAAACGTTTTAGGTGATGTTTCAGCCAAAATAAATGGCTCTGGCCATTTCTACCTGCTTTAGCTCTAGGTGAGTCTCTTCTTGCTTTCACAGTGTTGCAGAAGAGCTTTGGCCTGATTATGGCTTTCCCCCAAGCACATCTTCAGGCTTCGAGTAGCCAGAACACCCTGAAATGTGTGGATTTTGTTGAGTGATCTTGGGCAAATCACATAGGACAAGTGCTTTCTGTTTCTGGATGGCTTGATTCTGATTGCTTGATTTGAAACGCCCAGGTGGCCTCTGAGAGGAGGGGGATGTGGATGCACACACATCCCCCTCACTCCCAGAGGTACAGGATACAGCCTTTTAAACTGTTCTCCAGCTCTGGCTGGACTTGCTCAGGGAAGAAGTTGCTCCTGCAACTGCAGTTAGACCTCCCTCTCCTCATTTTCTGGTATCTCTTTTCCTCGCACACAGGAACAAATCACTCCTTCTGACTTGTGGAGGAATTGGGAACCTCCTTCCTTGCTTGGTTGAGCCCAATCCCCTTTTTGCTATACTCTGTTACCATTAGCCATGCAGGTCACTGCTTGCTCCTAAGGGCTGCAAATCTGTCTTGTTCTCTCAGACAAATCCGTCTGTTCTCTCCCCTGCTTGCTGATCAGAGGAGTGGGGTAAATACACACTGGATCCAGTACTTGAGGGTGTGCAGTGTTTTGTCCTGAAGAAGGACCAGCATTCTTATTTCATGACATACATGTTGCTTTTCTGCCAAACCTCTTTTCTCTGAGGGCCAGACAATCATCTGACTTCATCTGTGGCTCATGGGAAGCCTGTTCACATTGGGGAGCAGCATATCTGGAGTCTGGATGTTGACATCACTTTGATTTCCTAGGGCAAGGGATGTAGCACTCACTCACAGCTGTTGTATTACAGCACCCTTTGGCAGCCCAGAGGTTTGGAGACATCTACCCTGGCCCTTGGCCGCACAGCAGCCGCACAGCCTTGCCTTTTGCTCAGGCTTTAGACACCCACTGTTTGTGCTTCTCCTGCTAGAGAAAGCAAGGCCAACAGGAATCACCTGTGACTTGGTATGAGCACAGAGTAGCTCAGCAAATGACAGCATAGGGAACAATTTTCCCTTTGCTCTGAAAGCGAGCTCCCACCAACCGGCCTCTATCCTTGCCTGCTGAGGCGGGCAATGGGAAAACAAGCCTGAGCACACTTCTAGCAGTGACGGAGCAACAGGAAAGATGATGGTGTGGGTTGCAACCTAACATGTATATCATCAGCATCGCTTGAGTCACGCCCATCTGCCTCCAGCTATTGCAGCGATCCCACTGCCAAAGAGCAACCACATGGCCTGACCAAAATGATCCAGCTGCTGCTGAGGGCAGAGCTGCTGAATGATTCAGTTGTGCTGGGAGGACAAGGCAGCCCAGATCTGTCTTCCTGGAAAGCTGCTTTGCAGTAACCTGTGCTTGAAAAGATATTGTCTTTGAGGTGACTGTGGTGCTCGTTCCTGTTCAACCATGTGAATAAGACGTGCAGATGGATAGACATCCATTGGGAGCCAGAGCCCCACCTTGAGAGCTCAAAATGCGGAGGCAAGCCCAAGGGAGTGCAGGCTGCCTACTTAGGGTTAGAAAAGCCACCCTGCCCAATCCTCAGTTTCCCCACTGATGCAAGAGCAAGGCCAATGTTTTCCCCAAAAGAGTGTTTGTGAAGTCCTCTGAAGAAGGGCGCTCTCATAAATGCCACGCTATTTTTATTATTGGGGTCAGGGAGGAGAACATGCATAAAGGTGATGAAGCTTTTGAAACACAGGTTCCCATTAATAGTCTTTAGGAGTTCTTATTATAATCTAATTTGACTGGAATTGGATTACTCTTATAATGCTATAATGTCATTTCCATGGTCTTTTTGTATTTTTATTGTTACTATGCACTAATGCAATATCCTGCCAGAGCTCTGAGAAGAGGATGTGAGTTTAGTGAATTGTTGATAACATTTTTGCAGGGCATTTTTATTGCTCCTGTTGGGCTCATACACTGTAAAGTCACACAGTGCCTGGAAATAGCAGGAACATCCCCAAAGTCATCTTGAATTATCTTGTAACAGGGGCCACTGGTGAAAGCAATGTATTCAGAGCCAAGACACCAGGGGTCTGCTCCCAGCTGGTCCCTGACCTGTGCCGGGAGCTCACCTGAATCATGCCACTGTTTTTCTCCCCCTCTTCAGCTGGAAGTGGAAATAATTTGCCCATATAGGAATGTAGTAGGTCTGTGGTCTATATCCCTGACCATCTAAAAAAGTTTCCTTGTATCATCAAGCTTTAATGCTTCCTTTTCATTGAGTTTATCCTGGAAAAAAAAATGCTTTTTTCCTGCCTGTGTCCTGTATTTCTTAATTTGCCTTTTATTTTTCTTCTGCTATTATTTGTTTCTCTATTTATGCATCTTTTGAAGCACTGTCTTTATCCTGCACCTATTTAAAGATGCTGAAAGTTTTTATTTCAAAGTAGCCCCATGGTGCTTGCTCTGAACATTCATGGGCCTGTCCATGAGGACTTGGAAAGGAGGCTGCATGTGAACATAAAGCAAGCTGCGCAATATTCCAGTGGATGACGTTTCAGTCCTCAAATCATCTAAGAGAAAAGGTAAATAGACTGGTATTTTCTGTTAGCTCTTATCATCAACTCTTGTTTCTTTTCCAAATCTTACTTGAAGGCAGTCTTGATGTAATTAAAGCTCAAGGGCTAAAGCGTTAGTTTTATTTTCCGTGCAAACGCAACGCTAACCCTTTCTCTCCTGCATGTCTGTGGTTATTCTGTTCCATGGCTCCTCCGTTCAAAGAACATGACAAAGCTGCAAATTAAACCTCCTACTCTGCAAATGGCACAGCTTAACATTATTAGCCCACAGAAAGAGAATTTGCTGGGTCACTGGGAGCTGGCTACCAACGCATCTGTCACACCAGCCACATTGGGAAGCGAATCCATATGGTGAGACAGCCAGCTTCTGACTTCTGCTGGCTTCAGCTTCTAAGGACTTGGCATCTTTTATTAGATGTCTTGGAACTGTGCTGGTTTCTGCCTTTTTGTGACACAGGAGGGTTGGGGATCCTGCATTTGCATCACCAAGGGGATGCACTGGGGCTCCATGTGTAGACGCAAGAGTCTCCTGCCAAGGGTCCTTGCAGGAATAGAGCATTAGAACGGGACCTCATGCTGCTATTGCTGTCACTTCTGGCCTCTTATTTTTGTGAGCAAACAAGCAACTGGGGGGTTTGTTTGTAAGGATGTAGGAACATCTGTGCCACGGAGGACTTTCTCATTCCTCTGTTATTTACAAACAACATAAACCCCAGTCCCCAGTGTTGCCGTGTTTATACATTCCAGTGTTTTCTGGATGTACTTTCAATGCATTTCTGCCGTTGACACACTGTAGTGTTGACTGCCTCAGCAGCATCCCAAGCACAGCAGTGCCCGCACATGGCGAAGGCTCCCATCTGGTAACCGGGCGTGAACGCCCGCCCTGGCTTAGGGTCTCGCAGCGGGACGGTCACGACTTGGTCGAAACTTGCAAAGCCCGGCTGTTCTTTTTTGTTTGCATGAGAACAAAGGAGAGCATTTATGCCATTTCCCAAGAAGCCGGGTTTGCGAGGAGCGCCGGGAACTCTCTTTTCCCCTTAAAACAAAGGAACCCTCTTTAACCCCGCGCTCTTTCCCGAGCCCGGCTCCACCGCCCCACGCCACAGCCTGTCACAACCACGCTCCGCACCCCTCCTCGACGCCCTCATCCCAGCACAGGCCGCGGGGAAGGAGCATTCCAGGCCCCACTACCCGTCTTCCTCGCCCGCCGCCCGGGGTGAGGAGGGGGGAGCGGTTGGTGGCGGGGGGGCGGGCCGGGGGAGGAGTTAGTCTGCGCGGAGGAAGCGCCGGGCACCCCGCAGCGGCAGCAGCAGCGCCGGGCGGGCGGTTGGGCGGGCAGGTGAGGGCGGCGGGCCGTGGGCACAGCGCCCCGCATATTGTTATAACTTTTTGGGGTGGTTTGTTTTTTTTTTGCTGTTGCTCCGTGCGCACACACCCCTCCCCCCTCTCATCCGCGTATTTATTGTTTTTCGGACGAGACGCGCTTTCTCCCCTTCCTCCCGCCTCTCCCCAGGGAGCCGTCAGCGCGGAGCGGGGAGGGGAGGCGCGGCGGCCGCCTCGCTGTGGGGGCGATGCCCCCGCCTGCCTTGGCGCCTCCCCGTGCCGCCCCCGCCGCCTTCCCTTTGTGCCACCGGGCTCGGCGCGCCGCCTGTCCCGGGAGCCGGCGCCCCGCGGCGCCCCGCGGCGGGAGGTAAGGGAGGCTGCCGCCCCGCGCCCCGGCAGCCATGCGGACCCTGCGACCGCAGCTCGCCTCCCTCCTCCTGCTCGGTAAGTGGCGGGCGGCGGAGGGGGAGGGATGGGACGGGACGGGTGTCTCCCGAGCGGGACGGGTGTCCTACCTTGCAGGGCTTTCCGGAGAGTCACCCCTGCCGAAAATACCCAGCGCCTTCCCCCGGGAGTTGTCACTGCCCGCTGCGTTCCTGCAGTCGGAGGGAGGAGGGGGAATGAATAAATATATATATATAAATAAATATATAAATGAAATAAGTCGGTCTTTCCGCTTCACCTGCGATACCCCTGTAACTGTCTTCCTCCGAGCCCCGGGGAGCGGTGCGGCGTCCGGCCGTGGGAGCGTCGGGGCCGAGCAGGGCAGGGCACAGCACCTCCACCGCTCTGGGCTCCGACATCACCTTAGGACGTTGAGCAGCCACCGCGGCTGCTCCGTGAGGGGGTCAGGAACCGGCGGCTCGGAAGGGCACGGTAAGGATAGGGAATCCCGGGTAGGTCTTGAGCTTGCACAGTGAAGGCGGAGGAAGTGCCTGGGGGGTAAGGTAGGCTGCGGAAATAAAAGTCCTCGGCTCTCGAAGAGTACATGTAAATGTCGAGTGAAGGCAGTCCCTGCTGTCGTAAAATGCAGTTTGATTGCTTTGTGCTGTCTCGCCGAACTACTCCTGCAGTCTCTTCTCTTTCTGCCAGCGTTTTGTACCCTGTGAACCGTTAAACGCGTGTCTTTGTCCCATCCCATTAAGTACCTGCCCAGGAGGTGACTGTAGACAGTTCTGTAAAGTACTCTGGGAGGGGCCCCGCTGCTGGGTGAGAGGTGCTGGGTGAGAGTGCAAGATGCCTTCCTACAAATTTGGGAAAAGCAGAATACAAGGCAATTAAAATGTCTCTTACATCTCTTGCGGCAGCCCATATGTCTGGTTTAGTATTGAGGAGTTGATGGGAATGTTCGTGGTAAATACAGTACAGCACTGTCACACTGCTTTCTGCCTGTGTACATACAGAGCAGCTTCGGAGTTGTTTTGATTTGCCTTTTAATTGGTAAGATTTTCTGTTGGCATTAATGCTATTTGAGGGAAGAAGCAGCAAGGCTGCTGTTGTACTGTCCTGAGAATCGTCGCATACCTGCTCTGCCAATTTGGAAACAACATCTTCACTTGGAATTGCAGCGTGCTTCCATGCCTCTAATTTGCATGTGTGGTTTTTCATGCTGTCTTTAGGAAGAGAGAGAGATGACTCTTTGAAATGGTTTTGGAGAAGGTTCAAAGTTCCCTTAACCAGTAGCTTTCTTCTTTGGCTTCCCTGAAAAAAAGCCATCTGAAAGCTAAGTTTATCCAGGGTGATTTAGCTCCATGAGTGCAAGTGGTCTGTTGTATACCACAAGATGGGTGTAGACGAACAGGAGTCACTTGCTGCCTTGGCTTTGTGTGCTCAGTCTCTGCTGTTGAAGAACAATTATATCGTTGTGGATTAAGTCTTCCTAATATGGAACCAGTGAGTGAGCGGCTGGTTTCCTGCACGCTGCTCCGAAGCCGATGCAGCAGCATAGCAGCAGAGGGCATCCATCATCCTGCCGAAGGCTTCCTGCACTGGTACAGAAGTGGGACTCGCCAGGCCTGGGCTGGACACCCTGTGTCTGTGCTAACCCCACTGCCTGACCAGCTGCCAGGGCTGCCCCGACTCGCTGAGTGCAGGACCTGGCTTTCTGGGTTTGACCTAAAGCTAGCTCTGGTGTGCCTTTGCCCTCCTTGGGTTGGGGGTGAACTGCGAGGTGCCTTCTGTCACTTGAAGAATTGGTCCCTAAATCCCACGGACATTTCTAGTTCATAAAAGCATTGTGCTGGCCTCCTTGTGTCAAACGTGGGGTTGTTAAGGGTAGGAAGCATACCATGTGCATGCTTGGAGTTAGTTTTCTTATGGTATTTTTCACCTGGTTTTCTTGAGACAGTTGATCTGCATTTTCTCAGCTGCTGATTTAAAAAAAAAACTGCGGATGTGTGACCGTGCCTCAAAACCTCAAGGTGCACAGAAGTGCTTCAGATTGCTGTTTGTAAAACTGAGACATCATTTGACTTGATGGGGAAGAGGCTAGAGTAAAAGGCCTTATTTTGTAACATAAATCGCTGACTGGCTAGAAAAGGACTGTTGCTTTCCAAACAAGTAATGTTAGTGCTAGAATATACTCAACTATAGGTTGTGTATGCAGAAAAAGAAATATAACTCGATTTTTCCTTGTCCTTTTGCAAACTCATTAGAATCACTGAAAGAAGAATTGTGGTTGTGGAAAGAGCCAGTGGATGATTTAATATCAGGTATTAGCTAGCTACAAGAATCCAAGTAACTGCAAAACCAGGGTTTGAAAACCCACATCTGGCATGTGGGTGTAACATTTGTAGATCTCTGCTGTTTTTTTCCCCTCTTGCTGCAGTGTTTGTTACAGGGTTCTTTAAACAAGTGGCACTTCATCACAGCAAGTACAAAATGGGAAAATAGAGCAAGTGCTGTAAATAATCCTCATGCAGCGATGAGACCATTAATACTTGTGCCAGCCAGTGCTAATCCTATGTGCAGTTTCAAGATTTACCTTCTTTCTTTTGTAAGGATGCAAAGTATTTATAGTGTTATATATAGGAAACACAATAGGCTTCTGGGGAATGCTGAATTCATTCAGGCCAGTGGCTGGTTTATGAATGGTTTGGCTTTTGAGTCTCTTGCAGTCTCCAGTATGCCACCTGTAAATGCAATTTACAGCTCTTTGTGTTCAAACATTGCATATTTATATATGTACATAGACTCATTACCCTCTTCCTCTCTTTATGCATAGTAATTGGTGATTTATTTGTGATTCCTAGAGGGGTGTAGAGCCTGTGTAAGGTCTTGAAACTGCAGCTCACTTGTAAATGGCGTGTTGGAGTGAAATAATGATACAGAAGTGACTCCTGAAGAAAGAAGGGAACATCTTGAAGGCCTGCCTCCTGGAGGGGAAGGGGTGCTGGCTGTGAAGCAGCAGTATGCAGGTGACTGCTGCTCAATTGTTTGGCTGTCAGGTGTCAGCTGTCACACCCTCCTGCTCTTTTGCTGCCTCTGTGGGCACAGCAGTTGAGGGGGTCCGTGTGGGGCTAACACACAAGCTTAGGTGCACTTGAGCTGAAGGCTGCTTGGCTGGAGCGGTAAAGGCAGAGGTCGACAGAGTAGGTGGTGCAGGCCCAGTGTCTGGGGTTGTTTTTGTTTACCAAAGCTAGCAGCCCAGGAATGTCGCTGGTGCCTCATCTGCTCGTCCATGC